TATATCATATATATATTATCATATAATTACTAATGATTTATTCATTGTTATTTTTGTCATGTAAAGTTTTCGATTTTAACAGTTTCTATTAACTAAATTTAAGTAAATTATAAATTAGTATGATATTAATACATCAAGCATAATTTAATATATAGATATATTAACTATGTAAGGATTAGGTTATTACATATATACATTACATAATTAGATTTTTAAAAAGTAGAAAATTGAAAATAAATAATAATAAGAATATAATAATATATAAAAATAAATTAAAAAAAAAGATTTTAAATAAAAAAAAACATTTAACAACTTGAACTAATGCATTTTTATTAATTAAGAAATGTGACATGTAACATTATTTAATTGTGAATAGAAGATATCAAACGTTAAATAATTGCTTGCTCTAAGTACATACTCTTTAGTATATAAACTGTATTTTGAAGAGTCAGTGGACATAGCCTTTATACGTATTTAGATTTACACATTTTTACATATTTAAAATAAATAAAGCTATTGGATAAAGAAGGTCTGACTAATTTCATAGATAAAAGAAAGCAACAGTTTAACACGGATACTTCTTACTATTCACGTTGTTCATGTCCCAGCGTTTAGTATTTTGCATTTATTCCTAATTATATATATAACTTTTTTTTATTTTATTTAAATTTTGAAACACTGGTATATGAAAATTATAAATTTAATTTTTAGTTGTTAATTTTTATTATTAAAACAACAATGTTTTATATTAAAGGCTTTATGTATCGTCGAACCAGTCGTGTTTAGAATGTAGTGGCCGACGTCTAACATATTAATATAATGTATACGCACTACAACACTCACTCTTCAGAATGACTTATTTTCTTTTGGAACCCTTTTCACATTACTTCGGGGAGGATCTCTTTCATTTTGGTTCAGATCTCCAATTTTTAACCGAACTTTTCGGTATCTTTGCGGTACTTCATTAGCCTAGTTTTTGCTAGTCCTTTGAGGACTTTACTAATAAGAATTTTATATTAGATGATTGTGATTTGTAGAAAGTAAAAATATTAATTTTATTTAATTTTTAAATTTGTTTGATTGGTAGAAATTGTTATATTTGGTTTTAAGAAAGTCTATTTGAGCCTCACATAAACCTTTTTTAAAAATAGAAATATGTAAAAAGTAAACTCATAACTACTCTAAATTGTTTTTTTTGTATTTAATTATATTTTATATAATTTAATTATATTATATTAATTTATATTTAATATGGACACAATTTTTTATTAAACAGTTTTTTTATAATAAATACACATAGTATATGTATATGTATTTATTAAGATATATATTTGCAAGATATATATTTGGTGATTGTGATTTATAGCATTTATAGTATATTTTTTTAATTTATTTTATGTGTATATTTTTTAAATTAAAAATTGTTATATAATATTTATTTAATATTTAACTAACAAATGCTGACACTAATAATACAATATAAAATTTTTTTTTAGAATAAATAAACATAATCATTTAATTATTGACATATTATTAATGTTTAAATCATAGATAGGTCTGTAAAATAAAAAATTCTTTTAATCAGTTCTGTAATTAACAGTGCCGAGTGCATAACCTCAATGAACCTAAATTTTCATGTTAAGAATATAATGTAAAGCTTAACGAATTCAAACAAAAACAAAAACACAAATTAAAATAAAAACAAAAACACAAACTAAAAAACGACTAACTATATGAAATGAAAATTCTTATCACTCTTTGAGGAAACTTCTGCTTGCAATCAGAAACAACCCCCGACACATATTGAGGAATATGGCAGGCACTTGTGAACACAAACAAACAAGCCTTTTTTGTATGTATTTAGCAACAATTACAGATTTATTGCGCATAAATGAAACAAAAAACAGATGTTAGTAGCCTGGCTTATCGCGAATTCTAACAAGCTAACAAGCCAGCAAGCAAATCAAATGCTCAAAAAGAGCAAGAGGCAAATTTTAGGCAGATAGTCGAAAAGGCACAGATAGATAAAGATGTATGCAAATACAAACACAAACCGTGCACACACAAACACATACACACGTACGCTAAACGCTTTAAAAAATAATAACAACAAAATTATGATGGACTATCGTATAAAAATGCTAAACTGCAGAGTTGAAGTCGTCATTCAGTTTTAGAATTTAAAGACAAGTGGTCAGTTCGTGCATTACACACGCATTGACCAATAAAACACAAAGTCATTTATTTACCAAACAAATAACGAGCAAGAGCATTCGTTGAAAGTGTATCAATTCAACTGTTAGTTGAACGGAAGGCAAGGCAAGGCAATTCTTTTTAATTCATAAACAGTTGCTGGTAAACAATAGTTGTGGCAACACGCTGCAGGCGCTTTGTGGTGAAGTAGAAAATAAAGTCGTTACATTTTTTTAAATTTTAAAAAAGTTTAGTTTAAATTTATTATTAAAAAATAACAAAAAAAACGAAAATTATAAAACTAAAATGCCTTTTGCACGTGAACAAATTGAATCCATGATGTCGGAAAAACTATCTAAATCAGATACAATTAAATTACGAAATAAACATATTGGGTGAGTATTTTTTATTGAATAAGAAATTAAAATAGTGTAATTTTAAGTTTTTTGCTATAAGTTATATTTAAGTTAAATAGTTTTTAAATTATTTTTTATTTTATTTTAATTATTGTTATTTTTTTGTTTTTTTTTTGTTTGTTAACGTATATATTTAAGATATTTTTTCCTGCATTTTGATTAACTGTTTTTTTTCGACAAGGTCAATTAGTTTCATACTTTCTTTGTCAAGGTCATGGAGCACATGCACATCACCACCCGCATTGGTTTGCTCTAGTGTCATCGCTCCTCTTTTAAAATTTCCGCGCATAGGTGAAGAAAAATGAGAGCATAGCGAATGTTCTACTGACTCTGTGTGTTGTATTTTGAGGATTTTGTTTTTGTATTTTTGTTTTTCAACCCGTAGAAAAAATTGTTTGGTGCAGTTTCTCACTGTGTTGTGATTTTTTATATTTGACTCGTGTTTTACTCGTTATTTTGTTGTTGTCCCTTTAAGCAGAGCGAGTGCAGCTGACACCTGTGCTGTAGCAATTTTGTTAAACTTTTGATAAGGAAGAAATTTTAATTAGCAACAAATTTAAATATTTTTAGATTTTTTAATATATAAACTTTGTTAGTTTTTTTTAATATATAGATTTTTTAATATATAAACTTTGTTAGTTTTTTTTTGTTTTGTTAAAATATTTTTATTTATTTTAAAACAATATTTCATTTGAATACTCTACAGTGATAAAGAAAAATAAATATAAATTTGTTTGATATTTGTTTAATATGTTTTGCAATAAAAGCAAATGAGTAATAACAAAATTTATAGAGATATATTTTTAAAGTTAAATTATTTATTTTAATTCTGAGTTTATTATCAAAAATAGTTCTTATCACTTAAAAAAGTAAAATAAATAATTTTTAGATTTATGCCATTGTTTAGTAGAGTGATCCATCATTTTTATATAAAAATGTTGTGCTAAAATATAATACTTCCTAAGACCACTAATGATGAGTACTTGGCAATACTCGAATCAGCGTTGGTCAGCCAAATTTCAATAAATTAAATAAAGTTTTGCCCTTATCTTTTCTTTGCTATTCGAATCCGTCGAACTTCTAAATAGTTCTAAATAGTCCTTTTCATCATAAAGACAATTCCACATTATAGTGTTCCAAACGTATAGCAGAATAACCCAAAATTGTTCTAATATGTTCTAATATACAATATTTTAATAAATATTAAAAATATTATAAGAAAATCAAAAATGTATAAAAATCAAGTTGTCAATCTTTTTTAATTCGTACCGATATCTGAAATAATATATAGGTTCTAAGGAACTGACTGTTTTCATAGACATCCACAAATTCAAGATATAAAAATTGTAGTTTTATTATCCGATTATAAGATATAAGAAAAGTTTTTTATCAAAAATTAAATTAATTATTTTGCTACAGCAATACCCATTGCAAAGTTCTTTAAATAGTTTAGAATAGTGAATATTCATCACCAGTCAACTGGTTTAAAAGTTTTACTTGCTGTAAAATAATTAACTTAATTTTAAAGAAAAGATTTTTCTTTTATTATTATATTTTCATATAAAAACCTACATATATAACCTACATATCATATTTGTTTAATGGGCGTAGAATTTGTTCCATATAGGAAATTTTAAAATTTAACATATATATTTTTAATTTCGAACATATGGAATTAAGTGTTTAATATTATGTTATTGATCACTTTTCTTATATTGATGATTAAAAATCATTCTGCACGTTGTTTGAGATCTACCACGTCGTCTTGTAGTTAACGGTTTTAATTCAGAGCTACATGAGAAATTTAATTCTAGATCTCATGTAGAACATAACCGATTTAATCATACTTCTAATTTTTTACTTCAGTACTACTGTTGTGCTGGTTAGTAACACAACACTTCTTATGTACTTTAATAAAGCATTGTAGTTTTCACTAGGTTTTCTTTGTAACGACTCATGTCTCAGAGCAGTAAAGAAACACCAATTTTACGCAAGCATTAAAAATTTTGACTTTAGTATACTTATCTGTTTAGAGTCTTAAAATTTTTGGTGTCATCAATCTCATATTGAATTATTAAATGTTGGTCAACAATTTATTACAGATCTTAAAAGTATCATCTCTTAACCCTGCTTTGTATCCATTTTTAGTCACATAAAACTCATTTAATTGGTTGAAAGCTATCTTAAAATTCTTAAGCAACATATGCTTGTCTGTATTGCATTCATCTATTATATATAATAATCTAACAAAAACAATCTGTTATAGAGAAAACCGTTCTGAATAGCATTAAAAATACTTCACTTTGTTTACAATAAAAAAATTATTAAAAATTATTAAAATTAATAAAAATTAAATATTCACTTTTCAACTTAACAATTCATTCATAATTGCCACTTCAATAAAATTAACAAATTTTAACAAGTCATTTAACGAAATCAATATTGAAACACCCCACAAAAGGGCTTTAATGTTTATTTTTAATACAAATTAATATTTAGTATAGAATCAATAATTGGAAGTTCCAAAAATATGAGAAAAAAAATTGAAACAAAAAAGTATACATATACAATTTATTGCGAAGTAGCCAAAAGTCGTTATATTTATTTAAATGCGGGTTTCTATGGCGTATGAGTGATCACCATAAGTTTTGTGTGAGAAATTCATTAGCATTTCGGATTAAAATCAATATTGTTTTTAGAATATTTGTTAGATACGTAGATAGAATTTTGAATGGATTGTTTTAGTACTCTAATTGCAGTTCACTTTCTTTTTTAACGCTTTTACTTTACTCATGAATTTTCTCTCATGGTTAGAGACTAACAATAATTTATTTAATCTTAATAATTTGCTGCTTAATGTGCTCAATATTTATTAAGTAATATTTTATATTATTACATTATTATATATTGCATATTTAGAATGATTATATTATTATTCATATATTTAATAATTAAATTTTAAGTTTAATATTTATTTAGAAATTATTCTAAAGCTTATAAGTTTTTTCTCTAATATTTTATGCGAAAAAAAATTTTTTTTATATATCTATATCTTTTGAAGTAAATATATAAAATAAATTTTAAAATTATTTCAAAAAAATAGAATTAAGATCATAATTAATTTCTTTTAAAATCAAAAATAATAAATTATTAATAAAAATATTTGGTTTGTATTAATAATTATTGATATCGTATTGTTCGATAGTAAAATTGAGTTCATAATAATATATAAATTAAAAAATTTAATTAATTATTGATGTAGTTTATATTATTGAAAGCCATATATTTTTTTTGATACATTTAAGATTTAATATAGATGAAATGTTGTGTTGATTTATTAATTGAGCAGTTACCTCAATTAATAAACTGGCGAATTTAGTGGGTTCATTGTGATACCACTACTTAAAATGAGACTTTAACTGTTAGATAATATGCTAATTAGTACCTTTTCATAGCTCTAATAGAGCTATATAAAATGAATAAATTTTATGATACATTTTGATTTATATTATGTTTATTGAAATAAGAAAAAAATCGAAATCGTTTTTAATATGAATACAATGGCAAAAAAAAAGGAAAATAAATTATTATTAAATTTCTATATATAATACATAAGCCTTCATCAGTACAAACAAAAACTTAAAAGATGTAATATTTTAAGCTATATATTATATTAACATTACATTAAATCTATTATAATAATAAACGTATATTCTTATATATAACATATTTAAGGTGAAATATTAAAAATATATATTTACTTTCTGTTTGAAAAACAATTGTTAAATACCAAATATTATATTATAAATATTGTGTATATGTTTACTTATTTTATTTAGATATATATTATTAGGTATAAATATTATATAAATATATTATGTATTTTTTTATAACAATAGCTTATTTTAAGCATACTTTCCATATATAAATCGATAGCAACCAAAAAAAAATATTCTTTTCTTGTGCTTTTCTTTCCAAATCAATGGAACCTGCTGTGCTTCCAATCAAACCAATCTGCTGAATTTGAAAATTTCAAATTAAATACCAACTAATAATCTAAAATAACAAAAAAAAAAAACAATATAGCCAAGCTTGTCAGCTATTTTATCGTTCTGATCCGCTAAAAATCGTACGCGGTCAGGGTCAGTACATGTTTGATGAAGAAGGCACACGATATTTGGACTGCATTAATAATGTGGCTCATGGTAAGTCATTTCAATTATTATAATTCTTTGTTTAAAAAATAATATGTATACCAATATATTTTTCTAAATTGAATATTAAATAACATAATATATATTCTTCATATATTATATTTTAAATAGCTTTTTTTATAGTAAAAAACAGTTTTAATTTAAACTGAAATTAATTTTTCATCAAGTGAATATATTCGCATATGTAATATAAATAATAAAAGTAATAATAATAATAAACTTTTATATTAATATTTATGGAGATATAATACATATTTACAACAAAATATTTATTTCAACAAAATAAAATTTAAAATTCTTTTCGAATTT